GAAATTTAATTAGGAAACAATATGAGTATACTATATTTACAATTATAATACTAATCTAGGAAATCTAGAAATTATGGATTTATGAATCTAAAAATTCATGGTGGCGATTTATTGTCCTTAATACGCCCAGAAAAACAGTGTTGATGCCAGTGGCAACTCCGATCTTGGACCTCAAGTTTTGGAACCAAAGAGAAGACAGAGGTTTAGTGAGACCATCTACACGTTGATCATGGGAAGCAATATGTGAAACGTGAGGCACTCCTTTATCTACCAATCCCAACAAGAAACAGAGAGCCTTGTTTTTCTACTTTGTTGAAGCAGAAACTGACCCTTCCTTAAAGCCAACGGCGAAAGCACATTGGCCCAGGGTTAGACATGGGCCTTACCCTGGGCCAAAAAAATTTGAAAAAAATAAAGGAACTAATTGTTTAGGCCTTACCTTGTAGTTGGATGAATTTGAAGGAAAATAAAACATTTAGGATTTTAAAAAACTAAAATGAAAAGAACACCAAAAGAAATATAAAATATTGAAGTGGAAAGAAAATTAGGAAAATAAATACGTAACCTATACTTTGAATAACTAAAATACAAGAAAAGAATAGATTTAATACCTTAAAAGATGTTATTGCAAAATTTATTTCTCCTTGTAGCAAACCAATACAAATGCTTTGATTCATAATTTCTCATGGTTACAATTTCTTTCTTTTCTACTTTTTTTTTTTCTCTTTGTTTTTAGCTACCTCCACTTTCATAGCTTTGTTCAAGTGACTTGAACTCTTAAAATCAATTAAACTCATTTTTAAAAAGTGTAAAATTTTATTTTATATTCTTTCAATTAGATCCCTTAAAAACTAAGTATTAGCCAATACAAATTTCTCAATATTATCCCATAATTTATCTAGATTAGCTTCCAATACACCATCCAACTAGGCCCTCATAAAGCTTCTAGAAGAGAGAATCGACACTAATCCTTCTTAATTCACTGCAGTAGAAAAAGATTAAAGGAGGATTGAGAGTTTAATTAGGTTTGGGTGTCATCAGAAAAGAAAGAGGAATTCGTATATTTTAAAAGAATATACTATAGTTACAATGCTAATCACGACATGGCATTAAATAAGCATAATATAGTATTAAATAAATATATA